TTCATTAAGAGACATGGGTTGTAGCTACTCAGAAGAACAGCATGTGCTTTGTATTAGAATCCCCCCCACATCAAGCAAACAAAATGCTCTGCTCCCAGAAGTGGTTTGTATATGAAGCAGGGTGATGAACAATTTTTAAAGGGATGTTATTGTCTAACAGAAATGGGAAAAAATTTGAGGTCCCAGAGACATAAAGTACATTCAGGAGCATACATAACAGATATCTACAGATTTTAAAAATACATTTTTTTTTTTTTTTTCTTTATCCTTTCAGGATTTCTGCAATGGTTTATATATGAGGATTGTTTTTTCTTGTCAAGAGAAATAGAAGGAAAGAAAAAAAAAATCCCAAACCTGTCCTCCCACACAGAGCAGAGAAAAATAATTATTTTGCATGACTTCTGCCTCTCTAACTAAATAAGTTTGTGCATAGTTAGTTAAACTGTGGAGAGAAAAAAATAAAGATTATTATACAATCAAAACAGATCTCTCAAAGCATAATGTAAAATATAGCATTGGATCCTCGTAATCTTCTGTGAAAGAGTGCTGCATGTATGCTATGATCTATGCTTTCTTCCCGACCTTCCCCCATCCAGTATCCATGATTTAGAAGTAACTCAATAAACAGAGACAGGAAGCAAGTAGGGTTAGGAGATGAGCAGGTTTGGATCTCTCCAATTACCATGGTGACCAGACTACTAAATTGGTTACCTTTCCTCATTCCAAATACTAGTGGATAATAGGTGCTACCAAGTACTTGATGTCATTCCCAGAAGTACAGTCATGAAAGTAATACTAAGTGTTCACCCTTCCAAAACTGTAGCAACTGATATTTTATCATTCTTATTACTTTTTCAGGTATTGCAATGTCTGGCATGATGCTCTCATAGCACTGCATGGGAATTTGAGGAGTTCGGTAAAGTAGTTAAGAGTGCCTTCCTATGACTCCATAGCTGTGAGCTGAAGTCTTTCCCCAGGCTTGTGTTGAGCATTGCTTCCCAGTCAGCCTAGCTATAACTGGGTACCTGGACAGTTGGGCTTGAAAGTCAAAGGTTGCTTGATTAAATTTTGTCACGTTACTGCCTTGTGTGCTGTTGGTCACAGACACTGTCGTGCCTTACCCCTTGTTTAGCCCAACCAGTCACCTAGGCCCAACTTGGTAGATATTCTGCTTTGTCTCTCTGTTCTTAAATGTTGCCTTTCCTACTACTCTTACATTTTTCACTATATCAGGAAGGATTACGGGGAAATATTTTTTTCTTAATGACGCTTTCTGTAGTGTTCTCTTTTATTTCTGGAGACTATATTTGAACTAATTAAAAACAAACAAACATTGGAAGAATGGATTAATCTGTATTTGGAAAGTAAACTTTATTATGGCAGATATAATATTGAACTTGCAATTCATTGTGAATTCATGATTATGAGTAGTTCTCATACTTCAGCTGTTTGCAATCAAAATCTATAACCTTGCCAGATTTTTGGATATTTACATGCTGGGACTTTCACATGTAAAAACCAGAAGGTGGATAGGAAGTCCTTTAATAATAAGGCCTTTTTCAAAAGTCATGAACAGGTGTTTATTTTTAGCAGTGGTCTGATGTGGGAGGGAGTGGAGCAGTGGGGCAAAGCCAGTAGTTGATTCCTGAGACCAGGCAGCTCCTTGTCTGGGGAATCATGGGGAACCTTGGTGGGGAAGCAGTGGGGAAGTGGAGAAGGATACAAGCATTCATTCTTACTAGATAAAATTGTCAACCTAGATGATCTTTTTTCCTAGAGAGGGTGTTTCCTCTGGGAGAAATTGAATGAATGCTTATACTCTCCTAGTTTTTACCAGGAGAGTGGCAGTTCTCCAGTAGAAATGGCCGGTGTATGGCTTAAGTCTACAGCTGTTAAAGCAAAATCAAGATGTTAAGTTCATTCCATTAGATGCAATGGGCATCTTCAAAACAGTAAGCTAAATTGTTCTCTAAGGAATATGGCTTGCCATGAAAATTGGCTTAGTCATACAGAATCACTTGCATTAAAGTGGGAACAGTTCTACCTAACTGGTTAGATTTGATTATTATTGTGGTCAAGAGATTGGCTATAAACAGATACCGGACATCTTCAATAAATCTAAAGTGTTATATCACTAGTTCAGCTCAATGGATGCAAAATCCAGTTCAAATCAATGGATGCAAAGTCCTTTAAAATCAATGGAAAGACTTCCATTGTCTTCAGAGGGCCATGGTTTAGGTGAGGTACATTTTGTTCATACCAGGTCCCACCAGCAAGTGGAATATTCATATGAAATATGACTGCCAAGTAAGTGTGTGATGTAACCAAGTAGCTTCTGGGCTTGGTAAAGCACCAAAATACATGGGCTGTTCCGAAGAGGAAGCAACTGATAAAAGGTTTTTAAAAGTACCTGATTCCATTCTTCAACATTTAAAAAAAAATCTTAGGTTTAGCAGCAAGTAGCAGTAGTACTTATTCCATACTCTAACATATTTATAAGTACTTGCCCATTAAGGTAAGCCTGTTTCCAATTCTCAAAAAAAAAAAGGAGCAAAAATGTTACATACTGTTACAGAGCTTGGCAGTAATTTGCTGAGAGAAATGACTTTTATAGTTACCTTGGCTGGATTCAATTGTGTATCACTGAGAACTTCCCTTAAACACTGGTTTAACAGCTTGGCAACACTGAAAGCATGAAATCAGAACCGCATATCCTTCTGCCTGCTAAGTTTACTGGAACTTTAAAGCCTTATAGCTAGATTCCTCTTGAACCCTCTAACCTCTACTACTCAATTTAGTCCTCAACCTTTCTAACAAAACTAGCTCTCATTTTGTTTTGTGGTCCTGAAAAATAGCTTTTAAGGAAGTTGCCAGTTTTAACTGTCTAGACTATTCACATTAAAAGGTGTTAGTGAAAGATGGGCCTAAACAGCAAGGGAGCTACACTTCAAATGCTCTAAATGGCAGAGGTGCTTCCAAAGTTTTGATTCAGGTAGCTCTATTGTGGACATAGTGGCTCCATATTATACCTGGGTCCTATCAAGGGTGCCTATATACAACTGCGGGGGCTGCTCTGATTCACTATAATTACACCACCTCATAGCAGACTCAATTGAGTCTGCTTCAGTGCATTTAGCAAGCTCCACAACTATCACACTCCACCAGCCTCCATATCTCGTGTATCAGCATCCCTGTGCTTCAAAATGCTGGCAGGGTATAGCAGTGATTTAGATTAAATGTCCCTGCTGCCATTGAGACATGGGGAAACTGATACACAAGGCACTCTGGGCACTTTAATTAGACTGGCTACTGGAACCGCTCTAATTTAAAGCACCCCCCCACACGCATTGCCAGAACACGTATATAGATGCCCCAAGTTTGCAGGCTCAGTTCTGCCCCGTGCCAGAGCAAAGCTGGGAACTAGAAAGGACTGGCCTTTGCTTGTACACTGGAGAAAGATAGCATATTTTAGGTAGTGCTATTGGCAGATCTCCTTCCAGCAGAGTCGCATTGTGCCAGCACATTACTGGGCCTCTCTTGATCTGATCACAGACAGCCCTTCCTGCTCCCTCTTCTTATTTTGTAGGTAGGGCAGCACAGCTCTGATGGAGACATTGGTAGGTGGCAGAGTGTGTACAGATACTGACATAACAATTTCCATAGCTTTACACTGGCCAGAGATTCCTGAAGGATGTTCCTTGTGTAGGATTTTCCCATCTAGTTTAGATTCACTCTGTCATGTATGACCAGTGCTGAAGATCACTAGAGAATTGACCCCTGTATTCTTAATGGCTCTGAAGTTTGTGATTGTCCAGATCTCAGATTTTGATTGAGGGCTATCTCTTCTGAAATACACAGCTCTCTCCGTTGACAGGAGTTGCTGTCCTGCTTCCAGACTCCAAATAGCAGGGTCTAGCACCGTTGGGGCCTGGATATTTAATGTAGTTGTACTGGTATGCTTTACACTGGTTTTGTACAGAGATATAAATTAAACGTGGATCTGAAATGGACAGATGAGTAGCTGCAGGCAGTAGACGGTTATTACTGTACCTCACAATGAGGTGACAAGGGAACAGGTATTGGCTTGTTTACCATCAGCAAATAGCTAGTTTAGGATGAGCTGCTGAAACAACACCTGCAAGGTATAACTTTTTCCTTACAATAAGTGTATAACTTACCCTGATCATCAGAATAATCCTACATCAGATTGAAACTATGCTGGTGTACTGTATTTGTATATAAATATTATATATTTATATAGATAGATATGTTTACTCCTTTAACACTGATAAATTGTTGATTTTAGTGGGGTAATGTGCCTACTCCCTCCGTCTTTCATTACCATCTCATCACAGTGATGAAAGCAATGTATAGCTACTTTAAGTGACCATAGTATACCATTATGTAATGAGTTAAATGCTTGTTCCTGATTTCTGCACCAAAGTGCACAGGTGTGTAAATGCAAGAGCAAATTTTACTGGGGGAGCGGAAAAGATAAGACTCTAGTTGTCTATTCCTTTAAAGTTTTCTGATTACTTCTATTTTTTTTATAAAAAATTGTGTAAGTATTGGAAATTGGGAAAGTTCCGACACTTTTGAGATTTGCCCATAAATAATTAGTTGCAATCACAGTGAACAGATCTTTTTAGAACAGTGCTATGTTAATTTATAAAACACTGATGGGCTAGTTAGGAAAGCCAAGCTTTAGGCCTCAAGGAGGGAGAGTCTTAGCTTTCATTTTAATAATTAAGTAAGTTTGCAGTCCTACTCCTCAGATATATCCTTGAAAATGTAAACTACTTATCAGAGATGAAAGTAACAAGCAGCTTGGCTCTTCTGCAGCATAAGGTCATCTTTGTGCATAGTGGTGTGGAAATGGAAAAGGGAGATTAATGGACATGTTGGGCAGGAGTGGCAAATATTGACTAAGTTTTAAACTTCAAGAACATTCATTTAAATCTACTTCCCTAACTCATGTTAACTTTTTTTATCCTTTTCAGAGGACATTTCTCAAAGCTGAAAGTGAAGAAGAAATTTTTGCCCATCTTGGCTTGGATTACATTGAACCATGGGAAAGAAATGCCTAAACAGCGTTGCCTGTATAACTTCATCAGCACTTAGAACATTGCCAGTGCCTGCTTGGCATAGAGCTTGTAGACTTCACTGCTATAGCAACTTTCTAAGGTGAGAGAGAGAGATGCTTCAAATATCAGTGTGCCTTCACTGTTTATCAAGAAAATTATGGAAAAAAATTAGTTAGAATTCATTATAGATGCTAATATTTTAAGTGCTTGTAGAAAATAATATGTAGGAGATGAAATTTCATCACAAGTTTTGGACAAGTGTCAAGTTTGTGTGTTTTGAATGTTCTTGGTCATTGTGCTTGGTAGCTGTGCAAGAATAGATTGTGAAGTTTTAATAATAGGTTAGCCAATCACTTGTTTAGGGTGGTTTAGATGAGGATAATCCTGTCTTGAGTGGGGGGAAGAGGGCAGTTGGACTTAATGACCACCTGAGGCTCTGTCCAGCCCTACTTTGTTTTGATTCTGTGAAATAAAAACCTTATGTAAAAAGGATTGTTTTGTGTCACTCTCTATATTTTCTTCAAATCCTGCACCCCATGGTGCTCAAACATTTATTATGGCAGCTGGGGATAATTGTGACACAGGGAATTGTTAGGCTTTGTCTGGTACCTGAGAGTGGTCACAAGAGTGGCAGAGAAACTTAGGAGCTGGAGGTACTCCTATGTGCTTTTGTACCATGAAAATTCCCAAGATTTCAACACTTTCCTACTCTGCACTGGAATCATGGTTTTATGAAACTTGATCAAGACCCCTTAGTGTAGCCAATAAATAAATATTGGAACAATTGGGATGTAGGTGGCCTATATTGGAGTCCCTGCTTTTCCAGCTGCACACCAAGTACTTGAACCACAGTATCCCAAATCTTAGCTGTCCTAACTACCATGTTATTGATTATTTTCCATTGGGGCACTATTTGTATCATGCTAGCACTGGACTACTTTCAAATTAATAATTAAATATTAATTGGTTTAGAAATTTGAACACAAATCATCCACATCCCAGATGATTGTCCTTGGTCTACCTTGACCAGAAATTCCTTCCTGAACCTGAGAAGTCTCTAACTGGTATCTTCCCTTAAAATATTGAAAAAGCCATATTTTATGCCAAAGCATGTTTTCTTAGACTATTCATGGCCCATTTTAGTGTCTATAATAGAAACAATAACAAGATTTGTAACCTATTTATGCTCTAATGCATTTCTTCCTAACAAGAACATTTTTTGCTTTACATTTTAATTACTTTAACTATTAATTTTAAATTGTAGATTAAAGGTGATGACAACACCAGGAGTGGCAAACTAATATTCTCTCTAAAAGCAGAGAAACCCTGAAGGCTGATTTCCCATCTCTGGATGATAAGGGAGAAAAGGAGAGTGAGGGGGACCATGTACAGCTATTATTACTGATAGTAATAGCTTCCCACATTTAAATTATATCAATATTCCACGGCAAAGTGGACTTTAAAGGTTACACATATGCATAAAATATATCAAAACTAAGAAATAATTTGGCAAAACTACTGGAAGGCTGACTTAAAGTGCTGAAGTTACAGTTTCCTAGTTTTATAGTTAGTAGGGTCAGAAGGAACCTGAGCAGATCAAGTCCGACCCCCTGCCATGGCAAGAAAGAGTACTGGGGTCAAATGACCCCAGCAAGGTGTTCATCTAGCCTCCTTTTTAGGAGCCAGCACCACTTCGCTTGGAAGTTGGTTCCAGATCCTAGCCGCCCTGACCGTGAAGTAGCGCCTCCTGATGTCTAATCTGAATTTACCCTCTGCCAGCTTGTGACCGTTATTTCTAGTCACTCCTAGTAGTGCTCAGGGGACCAGGGACTCCCCCAATGCCTGCTGGTCCCCTCTGACTAGTTTGTAACAGGCCACATGATCCCCCCTCAGCTTTCTCTTGTGGAGGCTGAACAGGTTCAGGTCCCTTACCCTCTCCTCGTAGGGCCTGCCCTGCTGCCCCCTGATCATGCGAGTGGCCTCTTCTGGACCCTTTCCATGTTGTTCACATCCCTCTTGAAGTGCGGTGTCCAGAACTGGATGCAGTACTCCAGCTGCGGCCTGACCAATGCCGCATAGAGGGGGAGGATCACCCCTTGTACCTGCTCGAGTTGCATCTGTGGATGCATGACAAGGTATGGTTGGCCGTCCTGACTGCATCCCCACACTGTCGGCCCATGTTCATCTTGGGATCAATAGTGACTCCAAGATCCTTTTCTGCCTCTGCACTGACAAGAAGGGAGTTCCCCAACCTGTAGGTATGGTGCTGATTTGTTCCTCCCCAGCTACATCACCTTGCACTTATCAGTGTTGAATCCCATCCTATTCTCATCCGCCCACCCCTGTAACCTGTCTAGGTCCAATTGTAGCCTATTCCTTCTAACGTGCCCCCCCCCCCC